CTTAAGTGTTTTGCTAGAAAACCACCATGCAGTCATCTGCTACAAAGCAAGAAACCATACAATTATTTCCAAGTCAGTGGATTTATGCTTATTCTATTTACATAAAGGAGGGAAATTCAGATAAGGGTGGAGAGGTCAGTGTACAGCAACCTTTGTACTAGCATAGTACAAACTACATAGGATATAAAAGTAGTTCAGGCAGCCCATTTGCAGTACATCTATATGCCTTTTAGGAATTCAGATGTTTGCCTACCTATTTTTCAGCCTTTTAATTAATTTAAAGTTTTGGGGTTTTGTTGGGGTTTTGCTTCTTTGGTTGGTCTTGGTTTTGTTTCTAAAAAGAGTATTTGATAATAGCACTTTTCAAAAATTTTTCCCTCAAGTCAAAATTGAATTCCAGTCCAAACAGTAGACTAAACTGTACATCTGCTCAGTTTTAACAAAGATTCTTTCTTTAATGCAAAGTCATTACTGCAGAATGTTTTGTATGAACATACTATTGAGGCATCACCAAGAAGTGGTGATACAGCTTTAAACATTCAGCTGTTGCATTAGAGGTAGGCTTTTAGGAACCAGTCTGCAAATAAAGTTGAGACACACTTTAAGGCAGATTTTCCAAAAACTTTCAACACTAGTTAATTCTGCTTACAGAAGGCTAAGGTAATTTTTAAACAGTTTTTGCCACGGGAAAAAGAAGAATCTTTCAGTACATTAGAATGTCCCCAGACTTTAAGCCATAACATCTAAATTTCTTGTTTATTGCACATACATTTCATATCCTTGCTTTTAACCAAGTCTTACATGAGTTTTATTTTCACATTTAAACTATTACTTTGGGCCTGAGCAGTAACATTCCTGGAATCAGCCATGGGAAGTAAGAATCAAAAGGTGATTTTATACATTTGGAGATCCCAACAGACCTCTAACAGCAAGTTCCAAGTGCCTTTATTTGACTAACCATCACTGTGAAAAGGTTAACAGCTAATTCTGTATATTGAAGGCTACGAAAACTCTAGAAAAACTCCATCCATTGTTCAGAATTTGACTGTTCTGAAAGACTAAATCTTACTAAACAGAGGACTTGTTCTCCAAACCAACTGTCCCTTTACATGAGCAACACGGCTTGCCTTCCCAACTCTGCCTCCTTCCCTCCCAGGAATTAAATAAGACAACAGTACATTATTAGATATGTAAACTGTTTATCTCTTTTGTTCTTATTTAAACTTTTTTTGACTTTGGAGAAGAAATCTACTGCTTTCCAGAAGTTCCAGAGGCCTCACAGAGATTCAGGGTCACACATACACTTCCTCTGCATTCAGCTGCACCTCACATCTTAGCTCACTAGATCTGTCAAGATAAACCACACAAGTAAGTGAATCCTATGCAGGTGCCTCAAGGAGCACTTGCAAAGTTGAGAGGCTATTTGCACACAGGAACTTGGTGCTTTGACTTTCAGCTTCAAAAGGCTGGAGCTTCTACTATATTTTTCACCTGTTGCTCTTGCACAGATTAGGGAAGATACACATGCTAAAAGTCTCCTTTGCACCAGGACAGCTCCTTTCTAAATGCATTTTTACTGAATGACTGTGACAGGGAACCTTTCTGGTTTTGTTCCCTTGTTCTTTTGGGAAACAAGTCAAGCAGTCTCAAGTGTGGAAGAAGCCTAGGTGCCCAAGTTATGTCCAGCACTAAAGATGACACAGCATTAAACATTCTAACAGCATTAAACATTTAGGGATGTAAGTCACTAAGGAAACATACCAATTCTTAAGACATTAATATTATGGAAACACATGCAGTCTTACAAGTATAAACAGATAATGCCTTATGTGAGCCACCTTGAAAACAGATTAAAGCATACTTATTAGATTACTTAGGAAGAGAAAGTGCTTAAAAGCATGCTCTTCTCAATAAGGTAAAAGCACACAAGTGGCGGACAATACAAGTTGGACCAGATGACCTCACTGTGCTTTTTTCCAATCTTACCCATTCTGTGGTTCTGTGGCAAAAAAGGTGAATTCTCTGCCATGTACCATGCAACTTTATTCCCAAATCAGTACTTTTCAAACTTATACACAAATTAGAAACAAATGAAACTCAAGGCTTGGGGCAGAAGTGAAAATTATTCATTATTTCATATGCAAAAGTGCCTGCTTTTGACTTGCAGCTATTACTTTTTTTTTTTTCAAAGATGGAAAATGAATACTTTTGAACTTGCAGAACAAGAAAAATGTTTATCTAAAAGACAGTGGTTTTTTTGAGAAAAGTTAAGCAACCAAAAGCTTAGACATTACAGTTAAAATTATTAATTCTGACAAAAGATGCTGACTGCTGTACTTGAGTATTAATAAAGTGATTAATTTTACTCTCTTGCCCCAAACCACAGATTAATGATGATGAGCAGAGGCTACTGTGAGAAGCTGGGAATGCTGCCAGTTCCTGTTTCATTTGGATCAATCGAAAGGTTAAGCACAGCCTAAGCTCCAAAGCCAACAAAGAGGTATTGCAGTTTTGCAGTGCTGCAGACACGAGATAACCAGTATGCCATAAAATTTGCAAGCCACTGAGGTGGGTGGTTACATACAGAATCACAACACAAACTTCTTCCAGAGCTATGTGCTGCCATCTGAAAACACCACACAGACAGGCAGTCTAGTGCAGACACAACTCACAGGTCTCACATACAAATGTTCTCAGCATCTCCATTTTGGTATAACCTCAGCCTGTGGTTAATGTGAGGAAGAGATGGCTGAATAATGGCCTTTTACTCAGATTAATTTTCTCTACCACCAGATCTTGATTTCAAGTTTTCAAAACACCCTTCCTTCTCCAGCACTATGGCATATTAAATCCATGCAGTTTCATCATATTACTAGGATCTATTACTACGATATGCTTAGATCATAGATGGGAACCCCATACAGAACAGTCCCCATAAAACTCCACTGTCATCAGTAAATGAACAGAAGACCACACCATGGAAGTAACACCATGACTAAACAGCACATTAAATTAAGGTCTTAGTACTAAGCTTTTAACAAGAAATCTAAGATATCATGATCCTTTGTTTCTCAAGGTAACAGCTCAGTAATATCATATTTGTTTAGATAACACATTTGCAAAAAGAAAACATTTTCAGAGATGCTTTGATAAAATAATTCATAAAATGCTTATAGACACACCTGCCTCCTACCCTTCTATTTGAGTTCACAAAGACAGTAAGGAGGGAACACTATTGTGTAACCAACTGTTCTAACAGCCTTTTTTCTACATGCACAAAGAGTTAAAACAATGGTGTTGGGCCATCCCATATTTAATGGGTTCCTTGGGACCATATAATTAAATAAAATGAAAAATTCAAAAAAGAAAGTTGGGGGTTTTTCCCAATGTATTTGACACCCCTTTTGGGAAGTGAACAAAGACACACTGTCAAAAGCAGAAACTTGCACAAAATGTTACCATTTGTTCCCCATGAATGTGAGGTATACTTATTCAATGAAAGGAATTCCACTGCTCTCCTGAGATTTCCTCTCTTAAGTTGAATTTTGTGCCAAGTTCACTCAGCTAAAGTTTGGGTTGTGTTAGCATGCCAGATATGAGTTCCTCTAAGTCAGCCCTGTTATTCACTCAAAAATTAAGTGTAAAATATATGGTAAATTCAAACTTACATGAATTAAAAAATGACCATTAATAGACCATCACTGGCCCTTACTTTGAACAGTTCAAGCACTGTTTTTAATTGAAAAAAACTGGTACATGTTTTTGCCCATTTTACAGCCTATTTATGTGTCATTTCTCCTCCAGTTATGTTTTGGACAAGTTAAGGGATCACATATTTCTAAATTGCTCAAAAAGTAATTGTAGCATCACATCTGAGGTGTCTTAAGTTCATTCAGAATCTTCAGCTTTTTGAAAAGTAATTCCCAAATGACAAACCCTTTTTATATGAAAACCATCAATGTAAGAAAAGTAAGATTTCTTTATGAAATCTTGACATCCATTTCAGTTTTTCTCTTTTTATCAAAAAATAAGATGGAAAGCTTTTTCCTAAAACTTAAATTAATTGGAAAGCCTCCAAACAGCTTTTATGTAAGAGTCTTGATCTGTTTTGTTTGGGTTTTTTTCTAGGAAAAGATATGTAAGTGCACAGTAACTGGTAAGCCAAAGCACTGCAGCACAAGTGATCAGATGGACTGGGTGTATATATAGGGTGCCATCTAATGCCAGCCAACTGCTTAGAAAAGCCTCAGCAAAAAAAATTTCTGCTCTTCCAAGACTTCATTTGATTGTAATAAAGAAAAAAATAGAAGGTAGAGAACAAACTTGCTTTTGTTTGGGTCAAACTCAGTTCATACTCCATAATCAAAAGAAAAAAAAAAAAGTTTCAAGCTGTTCAATCAAAACTCAAAGGAAGTGTAAGACATAAATACCTTTATAGAACTGTTACAGAATTATATAATCAATTAAAGACTACTGACAAGTATGCTTACTGTCCCATGTTATAGGCACATCAACAAGAAAAAGAAAGCATTTATTGACATCAACCTATTTTATCTACAAGTGGAAAAACCAAAAATCAATGAGACATGAATGAATGTTGGGAAAGTTTATTTTTAAACTCTTCACACAGAATATACTTTACCATAGGCATTCTTAAGTTAATTTATTAAATACTGAACATTCAAACAGGTAAATCCAATCCAAAATCACCACTTTTGCTTTAAAACATTTAATGCCTTCATTACCCTGAGCACAAAGTACTAGATAAATTATTAAACCCCATGTATAGCAAAGTACCATACAGAATCACAGATACTTTTCTGAAGTTTGTAAAAGCACCACAGTAATGCCTTTGGAGATTAGTCTTCGTACTTCATATACAGAATGCACCAGAACTACCAGGAAGCCGAAGCTGGTTTTCTCTGAACACTAATTAGAAACTCAAACTCAAATCACAGGGGCAGGAAGAAAGACAAATCCTTAAGAAAATTATGACTTACCAGACAGATAAGTTCAGCTGTGTCTCAAATGCAGCAGAAGAAATTTTTGTATATGTAGACCTTGTTTATTTAGCCCTTTATGAAGGTTTCTCTCAATAAATTAATTTAAATCACATGCAAGAGTCTGAAAAAGAAAAAGAAAAAGAGTCTAAGCTGCTGAGTTTTTCTTTTCTAGGAACATTTGAGCTATTTTCAGCAGTAATGGGTATGCCTACTATCAAAATGAAAATGTAATACAGAACAAGCTCCCAACCCAAGCTAAAAAAAAAATCAGGAAATCCATAGAAAAAAAACTTTGTTCATTGTCCAATTTTTTATATAAAGAAACAAAAGGAGCAGGGAACAACCAATGTTGATGAAAAAAACCAAACCAAACTACTGTTAAAAGGAATTCAGGGACCTTGAAGATTATAACTTTTATCTCAGACAATCAACCACCATTGATATTTTTTAATGTGAAGAACACTTTTTGAGTTTGGTTATTTCTGAAGAGGTTTTTCCTTCTCTACACAAGGTTTCATCTGAGATAGGAGTAATTCTATTTGTATAAAGTCCATCATGTCTTACTGGTATACACATCCAAGGACAGGACAAATCAGTATACCAAGACTGAAGCTAGTACTTTGTTTGTAGTTTGCATCTCAAGTTTCCAGTTTCAGCAACAGTACTATTTTGGAAGTCTAGTGACCTGAAGCTGCTGGCACTCCTTTTCTTTTTTTGACCAGGGCCATTCAGTGACATGATAAATATCTCCCTGTCCTCCTCTGTCACACTACCAACCAACTTACCCTCTCATAATGTAAAAATACTGGGAAACAGAAAGTATCAATACAAATTAATGATTCTAGGAAAAGATCCTGAACATCTTGATGGGTAACATAAAAGCTAATTACTTTGAAGTTTAAGAAAACACAGATAAACTTAGTCTGTGAAAAATTATCACTGTTTAATTTTTTGCAGCTTCTTCTGGTAGAGGAGAAAGCTTCCAACATATCCCTCTCTATAACTTCTCTCTGTATATGTCTCAGAAATTCTTGGTTTTGCTTCCTCAGAAAAACTTCTCAAACATCATCAATGAAAATTTTGTTACTTTTTTTCAAGGAAAAGTTATCAGACTTGAAGTTACTCTCACAGCTCAAAACCTACCTGGTGTGGTAAGATTGCAAAATGTTTCAATATCTGCTAAATTTTCAGTCACGTCTACTTAAGTACATTCATTTGATAACATTTTAGAACACCATGGGACACCTTTCTGATTTATTCATGAACAGTAGTTGTTTCGAAGTTACATGGACACATGAAACAGTATGCCAGATACAAGCTATTTAGTAAAGCATATGTTAAAAGAGTAAAACAATGCTCATTGTTATAAACACACGTCAAGCACATTTTCTCCTGAAGACTTGCATGAAAATCATTAGCTGTAAAATACTTAATAACAGAAAAGCTGCTAAATGTAAAAATGTAGCACAAATTCATTCTGTGTTAGCTAAAAAGCATCCTTTCCATTTGATCTCAGCTATTTTTAGTGTTACAGCAGTTAAAAGAAGCTACAACAAAACCCACAAACTCTAAATACCAACCTGTTAAATTAATCATTATTGCTACTTCATTCCTCGTGTCTGGTTTAAGACCATCATTTTACCACAAAACTAGTTCAGCAAAGATAAAAAGCTCAGTTTATATTTGAGATTCAGGAACAAAGATATTCAAGGATTCCAATAGCTTACATTTCAGATAATGTGTGAATTATAGCCAGCTGGAGAGCTGTAATGGTCAGGTGGAACATGAAGTATACTTTGTAAATAAATACAAGACCTGTATCTACCAGACCACTAGTGTCAGACTCTACATGACCTTGCCATCCATAATGCTTTTATCTGGTGGTTACAAGTTAAATCAATAAATATCTGAAACATGCTGAATATTAATGCTACACAAACACAAAACTAGAAGTGTGTGTTAAAGTCATTATTAGCAGTATCAATTTACCACTGACATAATTTAATATGCAACACTTTGCAGCTCAGCATTTCTTTTCAGAGGCATTTTCTCAGAAGACAGATTTACCATTAGCTGAGTCACCATCAGCACTTAACCCATATTGGTACCTTGTTTCTTCACACACTCTCTGCAACTGTATTTGTGTAAATAGATGACACTTCACCTATTAGTATTAATAGCATTTACTAAACATGACATAAGCACTGTTTTGATATATACTAAGGTGCTTTAGCTACTGCATACAGATCAGATCATCTATATCCACAGGAAACATGAGATGTCAGAAATATCATATATATCATCTAGGTCTCAAAGATAAATGTATATGTATGTTTATTAGTAAAACAGACAAATATGTCAGTACTACCAAGACTGTCACCTTATGCTTTTCAGAGACTGACAATCATCTCTTTCATTTTATGGCTATCAGCAATAGTAAAATTATGAATATAATTTCTTTAGTGACCCACTCCAGTCTGATTTAATCCATTTTTAATATTAAAGAATTCAAATATGATCAAGAAGTGTACAGTTCACACTGCTGATGTAGGTACTTGGTGCAAGTCTCCAGGAGCTCTGTGGCCAGACACTACAGGACAGATACTACCAAGACAGATTTGACCAAGATTTTCATAAACCAGAGGAAAGAATTGCAATAGGGGAGAGATACAGAAGGTTGTTCAAAATACTGAGAGACACAATTGGCATACCTGCTTCACTGTACAGATGCATATAAAGGAAATCTTGATTTTTCTAAGCCTAGCATTTCAAACACAGTTGAGTCACTGACTTCATATGGAAATGCTGCAGGAGAATACTCCTTTTGAGAAGTGTCCCTGTACATTTCAGGATGCAGGTGAACACAGCACAGCCAGGTGTAATGACTCCTTTTTTTTTTCCTATTCTATACATGATTCTAGCAATATACTTTAATATTAGTGCAATACCTTCGAGTAGTACGATAGTATGTCTAAATGAATTGCATGTTACCTGCCTCAGGAAGAAATGAGGAGTGTGGATATGATTTCTTTCATTTTTTCTTTTTTTTTTTTTTAAGTAACAGTATTTCTTGAATTTCATCTGAACTATAAAATTTCATAGTAACAGTAAATGAATTTAATGTTAGAGAATGGAAGCAAAATGGACATACTCTGTTTTCAGAAGTCTCCCTTGGGAGCGTTCATTCACAGAACTGATCATCTCAGTCTCTGAAATGAATATTTTTTAGAGTGCAGGAAAAAAGAAATCTACAGAAGGAAAGCTATGGATCACAAAGGAAAGCTTTGTCCTGGACTTCCCTAGTCTCAAAAGTGTTTTAGACATATATGAACTTGGAGGATCTTGTAAGACTTTTTTTTTCAATATCAGTGTGCTTTCAGTAGCCTCCACTGCTGAAAACCAACGAGCTATGAAGAAGGATGGCCATGCTCCTGGACAGGATAGAACCTTGCTACACATAGGTCATATACACCATTATTTGTGATTAATTGTATATAATTTAACATAACTAAAACTGCATGAACATGGTACTGAACTGAACTTAGTGCCAGGGATGCCTATACTCAAACAAAACATCAAAGCAGCCTTCTGAATTTGTCACAGAAGCATTCTACAGATAACTCATGCATTTGAAAGACATGGATCAAGACAGCAAGTACAGAGAATCACACTCTCATGTTGTTAACATGAACTGGTCTGCAAAATGGCATATGTTTGATGAAGAGTTTAAAAGACACCTAATGCCTTTAGCTATACTGAGTTCTCATTTTTGACTTTAGATTTATGTTAGTCTGAAACCCCTAGCCATTTTTTGGTAAGACATTTTACAGTTATAATAAGCAGCTAGTTTATGATTTTTAGTATGTTTAATAACACCATTATATCATATAGAATCCATTAAAAATATTGTACCTTTAAATCAGCACCAAATAACTACATTAAAATGTAAGGATACTTTCAACTTTGAAGTGAAATCACAGGCATTTAAACCCCTCCAACTACTGAAAGCATATTATCTAAATATTTAAAGCCTCTTAGTCATCTGTTAGAACCAATTCCAATACTTTAGCCATTTCCATATAACTGGGTGCAAACCATGTAACTGCTCTCGTAATGATGTGAAAAATGACTACAGCCACTGCACTTATCATTCTGAAACTGAACCAACAGGATAATATGCCTGCCTATTTTGCTAGTAAAACTAACTTCCTCTGTTCCAAGAGTAAACAGTTAAAAATGAACAGGAAAATAAATATGAAAAAGCCTTTTCAGGAAATGGGGAACAGAAGCTTATTGTTAATCTCATTCTTAATATACATTGCTAACCCATTGTTTCAAGAACTTTGTACCAAGTTATTTGTCCTTCAGGCCTGTTTTCTGCTAGAATGTGCTTAACTCCTGTGTAAGACTGTGGCTGTTTTTTGGGAGGGTGCTGAGGGCATTAAGGAGCACGGTTTTCCTAAAGGCCTAAACCTCAGTAATGTAAACAAGCTAGGACTCTCAACCTGTGACTTACCAGTGCAAGCAAAAAGGTCTTCTGAGCACAAATGGAAAGTGGTAACTTAAAAAATAATCATTTTATATATATATATATATATATATATATATATATATACACACCTATTGGAGTCAGAGGCACAGAGAGTGTGCCAGTGATACCTGGCTCTGACATCCATGAAAGCACTGAATTTCATGACATCCTGAAGACAGCTGTTAAATAGAAAAGCTAGGAATGTAAATGTGTAAATTAGAAAGTTTTCTTAAGTCACTGTGTGAAAAAGTTAAAGTTTGGAGTTTAAGTTAGTTAAGAGAACAGAAGACAAAATGGAGGATTTAGGGCATTGTCTCTTGTCCTTCTTTCTTCTTCATCTTCTTCTAGAGGTTTTTAGGTAGTAATAGGTAATTGGATAGAAGATGTCACAGTGCAGCACAGAGGTGTTGGGTCATTGGGTCATTAAGAAAAATAATTTACTTGGCATCTGTTAATTGGGTAAACAGACATATAAAAGACCTTGAAGAAGATCTTTGTTAGCCATTTTGCACTTTTCTATCTTAGTGCACATAGCTTCTTGTACCTTGTATACATGTAATGCTGATAAGAGAAGAATAAACAACCAAGTC